AACAAATGTGGTACAATGCTCTTAGTAGTCTTTAGAAAAACTGCGGAATTGTTTAAATATAAGATAAATATTATAAGAATATACATACATTTACGTATTTTGGATGAATTGTGTAAAGTTCCTCTCACGTTGGACTGAGCAGAATGTCTGACCTCTCTGAACCTGTCTCTGACGTGCTGCTGTTCCAGGTGGTGGTCCTGGCGGACCCCGGCGCTCCATCAGCCTCCCCAGCAGCTCGGGGGGGCTGACCAACATCACGGTGACCCCCATCAGCAGCCACCCCCCCGCCCAGTTCACCTGCCTGCAGCCGGTTGCCGTGGGTCACCTGACGGCCGGCGAGCGGCCCCTCAGCCTGGACAACTCCATCCTCACAGTCACCTTTGACACGGTCAGCGGCTCCGCCCTGCTCCACAACCGCCCCCCCGAGCTGGTCCCGGAGACGGTGGGGCCCGGGGGGGGCTCGCAGTCCGTGGCCCACTTCATCAACGTGACCACGCTGGTCAACCCCCTGGGCCAGCTGGAGGCCTGGAGGCCGGTGCCTGAAGGACAGGTCACCCACATGGGGGAGGGGGCTCAGGGGGGGAGTCAAGAGGCCCAGGGTCAGGGAGAGGGGGGCCGCCCTGTGCAGAGCCAGCCCCCCCCATCAGAGCGGCTCCGCACAGATGTTCAGCTACTAACAGTGAGGTGCTGGCCGCCTCACTGGGAGCAGCACATTTTATCAGACTGTACAGAGACCCTCACCGATGCCTCTCCGCCTGAATGTCACATGGTTTCCCTTTTTATACTGACAGTGGCTGATAATAATGAACATTATAATAAAAAAGAGAAATGGTACATTCAGCCCAAATCACTGACACGCTGATTTACGTTTCAAACCAAAGCAACATGTGGAACATTGAAATGCCTTACCAGCTTTCTTAAAACGTGCATGTTTTCAAGATACATTTGCTGCTGGAAATATGAAAATATACTAACACTTATTCCTAAAGTGTCCCATCTAAATGTTATTTTTGAATGCTGTCTGTCAACTGTAATTATTGTGGAACCGCTGGAAAGAATACTGGAGTTTTTGTACTGTTATTTTTAAACAAATTCCTCTTTAAATGTTTATTTGATTTGTTTTCATTTCATTTGAGATTGTGTGGAACAGTTCTAACTGCTGCTAACAAGCGGCATGTCACAAGGCACCTGAATCCTGAGCAGGTGTTAATGGAACGAATGCATCAGAAAGGAAGAATGAACAAACAGCTGAATCTCTAAAGAGGATTTCTGAAGACATATCCGAACAGATCACAGCATCCACAGCAGAATGAAAGCGTTCCAATCCATAGTAGGAAAAGAAACCGGGCCTAATGGAAGAAATGATTAGATTTTCACACTAAGACTAATGTTTACTAAATAAAAATTCTCTTGTTTTTTTATGTGGTACACATTTTTATGCTTTATTCTCAAATGTATTTTCTTCACCATTTTTATTTTAAGAGGAAATTCACAAAACTGAAGTTGTCCTTATTTTGTAAACTCTGTATTGGGGTGTCATATTTAGTTATGGACTCTATTGGTTTCTTTTCTACCAGATTCTTGTCACGTGCATCATGATAAATCAACGCGGCTGACCTGGGTGTTGTCCTCCTGTAAGCAGAGGTTGCTGTTCTGTGATGCAGATTAAGGTATGAAGCGTGAAGGAATGTTCAACAGACAGATATAAAGGTTTCCTGTGCCAGTCTCATCATGAGATCAGATAATGGCACAGGAAGTTAAGAATAAAAGCAGTGGAAGTGAAGAGATGGTGAGGAAGTGAGATCCAGAGACAAAGTGTATGCTGACTGGAGTCAAATATCTAATACAAAACCAAACTGGTATACTTTTGGTATGTTCACATTTAGAAATGTCAAAAACTGGCATCAACACGATGGATAACCTTTAACAGTTTAATATTTAACACAAGTACTCCACATTCAGTCCCTACATACTTTTCATATCTAATGTTTAAACAGCTGGTTTTAGAGCAGGGAGAAATGTTTCATCTAGCATGTACCTCCACTGAAAAAAAGGATAAAGTAACAATAGTAATATTGTGGCTTTGTTTTTATGAATATATTTTCATAAATATATGTCGTTGCAGGTTCAGCACTCATATCACCGTCATCGTTTCTTATCACAGAACTGAATGCTCTACTATGAAATGTCCAGTAGATGGTGCTAAAGACATTTCAGAGGGTCAAATGTAACAGTAATAATAGTTTAAAATATTCACCATTACTTGAGTAAAATACTTCCAATAGAACTCTTAAACAGTGAAGAAAAACCCAAAATAAAATGTTTTTGATATTTCCCAGCACATAGGTGAATCAGCAGCTCAGTATTAATGTAATGGAGATGATTAAAGAGACATTTCCCGAACATCAGCAGCTGAATTATTGAGGTCCTTTGTTTGGCCACACACGCTCAAAGAAGAAACTCAATAAATGGTGCAATAAACAAAACACTTTGGAAATGCTGCACAACAAATAAGACGCCAGCACATACCTGAGCTGCATGCTGCCACACGCTCAACTGTGTGGCGTTCAAAATCCACTCTGAGCTTTGTTTATCTGACAATCATTGACAGAAAGAGAATATATCATATATTTTTTGTGTAAAAACTTAATTTAAAAAGTGAATGGTAACAGAAGCTATCAAATAGATAAAGCAAAATAAAAAGTTCGATTTTTCTCAAGTACTCAAAATTGTAATAATGGGGATCCAAAAAAAGGTAACTGTATTCACTTACAGTTACATAAAAGAGATGTAATCAGATTACTGTTACATTTCAAAATAAATTGATTACTATCCAGATTACAGTGTAAGTAAAACCTCAGGGATGTTGTCTCTTCTCTGTCAGCTGTTCTGTTCTGTAGGATAATACTTTAAGTGTGAATCTATACTTCTACTGCCTGAATCTGCTTTATGCTTTTCACTTTCTTTGCTTCATTTGTTCTGTTTTAATTCAGCAGGTGAACCTGTATGTTCATTAAATAGTGTGTGTGAGCTTAACTGTGTGTGTTAAACTAAAATGGAGCATTTCCTGTCAGCTCAGATTTTATTTCTGCTTTTTCAAACTGTAGTTTGTGCTCATGTGTTTCAGTGTTGCTGAATGGCTGCTGCCTGGATATGCTTCATGAAAGGAAGCTTTTCCTATATGAAAACAATTCTGATCCTAAATATCTTGGTTTCTCTTTTCTAAGGGCACAATGTTCTGTTGTCTTACATAATACTAAATTAAAAAACATCTTGTTTTTATTTATTTTTCTCTTGTATTTATTTGCATTGCATTTATATTTAAGTAATCCCAAAGTAACTGAAAGTAATCAGGTTACATTACTTTTATATTTTCATATTTAGATTAGGTTACTGATTTATTCCAGAATTTTGACAGGTAACAAAATGTATTTTTTAAGTAACTCTGCAGGTTCAGTACTAGACTAAAAGTACTTAGTTACTTTCCACTATGGCTGTTTTTATACATCCCTCATGCTGACTGATGCTTCAGACCTGTAGAGCTCCAACAGAAGGAGTGAGGTGAGGAGTGGACGCTCCTGATTTATTCTAAAACGTGCTCTGATGAAAGCTCCATTCTCATGGATCAGCAGGTGTGATGCTGCCCCTCAGAACATTTACACTTCACATGGGCGGGGGGGGGCTCGTTCACCACCGGCACTTTCACCTGCTATCTGCTGTTCATGGGGACGTGTGTGTGTGTGTGTGTGGGTGTGTGTGTGTGTGTGTGTGTGTGTGTGTGTGTGTGGGTGTGTGTGTGTGTGTGTGTGTGTGTGTGTGTGTGGTGTGTGTGTGTCTGCAGAGTGTGTGTGGCCTAGCATTACTATGGGGACCTAAATCTGTTTTCACAGTCACGCGTGGGGACTCGCCTCCCTTATGGGGACAAATTGGAGGTCCCCATGAGGGGAATCATTACTTTTAGGGTGAGGACTTGGTTAGGTTTATGGTAAGGTTAAGGGTAAGGGTTAGGGTTAGATATGTGTTGGTTCTGGTTAAGGTTAGGATAAGTCTCCAAGAAATGCATGTAAGTCAATGTAATGTCCCCTGAAGTGATGTATACATGGTGTGTGTGTGTGTGTGTGTGTGTGTGTGTGTGTGTGTGTGTGTGTGTGTGTGTGTGGTGTGTGTGTGTGGTGTGTGTGTGTGTGTGGTGATGTGTGTGTGTGTGTGTGTTGTGTGTGTACAGACTGTGTGTGTACAGACTGTGTGTATGCAGAGGTTGTGTATCAGAGCCTCAGGGAACACTGATCTGAGTGCAGTGACAAAATCCAGCAGCCTGTTCCTCATCGACCAATCAGATCTGCTTATTCTCTCGTCCTTCCAGTTTGCTATTTAAATCTGCGGGGGGGGGCTATGATGAGATAACGTGTTATGCCGGTAAAAAGGAGGTGAATAGAGAGAAAGGCATTTAGTGGCTGACCACAAAGCCAACATTACAGAATAACCTGTGTTTGTGAAGAGGCATTAAGTGTGTGTCCTCGTTTTTGGTTCACACCAGAGATGGAATGTAACAATTTACATTTAGTATTATTATACACATTTAAGGTCCTTGTCATTTACTTGAGTATTTTCAAGAGTTTATACAAATATAATATTTGATTATAAACTAAACTAGACAACAGTCTGTACAAGAACAGATTGGTCGTATAATCAACTATCCAAATGAAAGATAATGAATAAGCCTATGATGTCATTTTCTATTTTTCATTTAAATTGTTTTAATTTTTAACGATGTATTTTTTTAATTTAATTTAGATGTTTCTGTCTTTGGAAGTTTTACATTAAATACTTTACTACATTTCGGAAATTTGACTTACTGACTTTTATTAAAGAAATCATTCCAATGCAAGACTTTGACTTCTAACAGAGTCTTTTTACAGTGTGGTGTTAGTACTTTTACCTTAACAGCTTTACAGTCATTTACATGTAGATCATAGATCATACCATCTCGTCAATCAAAACATTTGACATGCACATTGAAGAAAATGCAAACAGACTCCCAGGCTGAGAAACAAGCAGTGGAAACATCTGGAAGGTCATCACATAACTGAGAAAATAGGGAGGGTGGGGTCAGAGAGGGTCTGAATATTTTAGAAGAGCAAAGTGGTATCTATTCACATGTTCTGATCACGAGTCTCCACACCGAAGCCAGGTGATTGGATGGACAGTCAAACCTCTGATCCTACATCAGGTATACCATCATTAAAGTCATATGATGAGGGGCAGGGATGTGCACAGACATTTGGGAGGGGCTATTGCTCCTAAAGAAAAAGGGCCCTTGCCCCCCCCCCCCCCGAAAAAACACATGACCTTTTGAATTTTTTTTCAAAATGAAATCCAGGGAAATCTTTTTGTTTTGCGGTCCCTATCTCATTAAAATATCTAATGTTACTAACTATTAAAGAAAAAATGGGGACAATTCTGTTTTAATGTAGGCTAGTTTGACCATTGTAACTTCTGGTGCAGACATAGGCCTACTGATAAAATAGGGCTTCTAAGTAATTTTCTTAAATAAACTCACTAATTAATTAAACCAGTTCAATACGCATTATTCTTATTCTTATCATTCTTTATGAGCGCAAGTAATGGTAAGGTATCTAATTACTTATTTATTTAGTATTCCATAACTTAATAACAGAGATGGTCAAACTAAAGTAGAGACATGGCATAAATCCTACAATGAAGCGGACAGTGAAGATGTTCTCCGTGATGAGGGCGATCAAGAAAGAGAGCGAGCAGCCCCGTTGACGTTGAGGGGAGTTTACGGAGCAGATGAAAAGACACCAGAAAGACAGAAGCACAATAACAAGTATAGCCTATTTAGATTGTTTTAGTGTAATAACCAACGGTGTCAAGAAGAAGTAAAGTCCCCTGGTTTGTCCCTTACTCTAACTGCCATGAGAAAACTCAAAAATCAATTTAAGCATATTTTAAAAACGGGGACATTTCCGGGGACAGATTGACCCGGGGATTTGCCACCAAAGCCAGGTGGGCATTTGGTATGATCACCATAAGCCATATGAGGCCGGAGGGCTGTCCTTTGCTTCTCAGCTGTCAGATTGTAAACAAAGTCACGTGACTGGGGGCAGATGACAGGCTGACAATGTGTGTTTTATCGTAGCGAGACGCTACAATACTAATTGTGGGCTTATCATGTCTATTCGGCCAATACAGAAAAAACATATGGCAAAAGGGCCATTGCCCGGGCAACATTTGCCCGTACCTGTGCACGCTCCCTGATGAGGGGGCAGGGTGCTCTGGTCCCTCGATGGTCCTCGTCACTCATTATATATCTTTAATAACTGCTAGACTATTTACCATTGTGTACCATTTTTCTATTTTTCTTTAAAACATTATATTTTCCTAACATTTCGACTGTCGA